GTAATGAAAAACTCTGTAAGTTGCCAGTCAACGTTCACGATGTTTAGCAAATAATTAGCGTGCACCACTGGCAACAAGGAATCATCGCCCAAAAGTTGCTTGCACGAATGCGCCTGCGCATAAGTTGCACCTCCAAAGGCCATTTAGATTCTAGAATGTTGAGGAAGTCCGTTCCGGTGGAAAAATACCTGAAAATTACGTTCATTGTATGTGAGCCAACCTTTTCCACAATCCGCGATTTTTTTCATCCGTTAAGGTATTCAAAGTCGGCGGTGTTTATTCACCTGGAGATTTAGTTTACTTAAGCAAATCGCCATAGTAAAGGATTTTCAATAATACAGGAGCATGTACCTTATACATAGACATTCTACACTATGAAGTGGCAAGTCTGAAAATGCCGTAGATTTCGAGAAATCAATCTCATTGTGCGAATAGCCAGCGGCGGCCATATGTACTTTCGCCGATGTTTTTGAATGGCGCGGTGAGTGTCTATGTTCTGCCTTCGCTTGATTCCCGGAACTTATTTAAAACAAGCACAGCCTGTTAGCCGAAGTTCCGCCCCGATACCGCCTTATTTCTTTTGGGTGATGCAGCGGCTAAGGTGCTAGGATTGCACGCAATTGGCCGAAATCTGAGCCGCTTCCGGTCCAGCGTCAAACAAGTCGTATTGGACCGAAAGGCTGAACTCACGCATCAAGCAATATTTAGCTTCCACCGAATGTTGCCTGCCAACAGCGACCATAGGAAGTCCGAATTTCAGGTAGATTTGAACCTCATACACTTTTTACGTGACATGCTGTGCAGATGTGTTTGACTTGGTTTTGCGTATTAATACATGTCGTAAGCATTCGTTAGATTTTCTGAAGGAGACCCTAGCATGGTAGATTCAGACTAACAAAATAGCCAAGAAAATAGGGTGAAAACATTTGACCGACGAGAAGCCAAGATGTGGATTATATTTATCGCAGCAGAACAAATGCATTTTGAGGGAGAAAAATCAAAGACGTTTGAGGCTGCACACCTAGAATTCAGCGATTAGTGCAAGTGTCCTTTGTGACATTCGTGATGTATAACCGACACCTAAGCGATACTTGACTGACTTGCCTATACCTGGCAGAGGCAGAAGTGTGGTCATCAAATAGGGCGGGTTGGGGATAAGAGGGAATAATGAGGGGAGATGGGGATGTTAGCAGTAACATCCCTTTGTTTACCCCTTGCCGTATTCATCGGATATTGCGACCCATTGATGTCGCCGCGCGACAGCCGGTGCGACATAAAGATGTTTTTGTTATGCGCGCATTTAGACACTGCTAGAGCACCCGAACTTGGCGAGGAGGAGAGTACTTGGTCAAGGCTTTTCGCCCAAAAGTCTGCTCAGCGTAAGACTACTGCAGTAGTCTAACTGTCCCACGTGTTCTAACGGAAATCCCCAATTAGCCAGGAGGCTGTTTGTCAGGTCAATATGGCGACTCATACGGAATCATCATCACCGGCTGTAGAAAGCCGCGCACTGCCATACAGTGATTCAAGCTGCCACAGTTTCTTCCACCGACGATTTGGTGAAGTGGGGTAGATACCTGCGGTAGATGAAACAATTGCCTCGTAAATACAAGGTTGTCGGTTGACTTTTAATTGGAGAGATTTGGACGGCGTCATGCACTAGAGGAATCACCTTGTGTGCATGGGCGCTGTTGAGGGCGTGACTGAGCCATGCCTGACAGTGTATCTAACTATTGATTTATCCCGTCTCACGGTCTCCGTCCAAGGAGACGGCAGTGACCAGTGCAGCTGAGTTTGCCGGTGGTGGGTTCCATACCTGGTTGCAAAGTCAATGTTTGATCTCCCCTGGCTCGTTTCCACCCTTCACGAGGTTATGGAAGAAGAACCCTTCGAGGAAGTCGTCGACCGGCATACGGAGCACGTGGCCAAGTCAGGGCAACCTATGCAGTGTGATCAGTTCATCTATCGTGAGTGAGTTATTTCTCCCGAATACCAGACTCGGGCAATGCTCCAAAGACATGGATGGTCAAACACCGAAAGCTTTTTTGACGTCCTCGGCGCGCAGATGCCAGCTTTCTGACCCGTACGATAATATGGAACGCACCACAACTCTGTGGATCCGACCCTTGACGTATGAGCTTGTTACGCCTACGCCCCAGGCGATGGAGGTTCACAAAAGCTGCTCTGGCCTCCTCAATGCGAATGAGGACGTCATCCTTCGCGAGACCACTTGGACTGGTACAGCTGCCCAGGTAGGCAACTTCCTCTACTACCTCAATCGACTCATCCGCAAGTATGAGTTTAGGGTTCAGGCCCATCCAGCCTTGCAGCAGCACACTACACTGTGAGGGTGTGAAAAGCATTGGAGAGCGTGAAGTTTTCAGCAATTTTCGTCGTTAATTTATGATGTGTCGGCATATCTCCTCGTTCTTGTTGATTCCATGCAGGCATTGAATCCCAATCAAATATTACGCAGATCATAGTAATTCAACCGGTCCACGTTGCTCTTGAAATCGGAAACGAATTTACACATTATCCCAAGCACATCCTGCGTGAATTTCTGCCTTTATATCCTCTAAATCCGTTATAGTCGTGTGTCGTTTTAAAATTAGCTGATGTGTTTCGGAAGAATTTATCCCACAGCTGATGTACACGGGGCTTAGCTTGCATCGAGCACAGTAATCAATGGTTTCGCGATGCATTGTGTACCAGTGCTGCAGCTTCGCGCTCAAATACAATGTTCCCTTACTAAGGTATGCGCAAATATTTAAAAGATGTTTGAACATAACGTCAGTAATCTCGTTTATGTCAGGGGAAGCAATTAAATTGCCGGAAAATATACCCATCGATCGTTCTTTTCAACCATGCCGGCACACACCGCCGCTTTTATTTGCCCTCTATCGCAACTGCTAAGCCAAACACTATGCGTGCCGCTGATTACCTGGAGTTAACTTTGCATCTCTATCTATCCTAGTGGCTCACCTAAGTCCACCGTTCCCTTAACCATGCGCGTTCCCGACTGACGTGCCTCTGTCGTAGTAGTGTGATTGAACATTGCAGAATGTATTTCCAATCAATAAAACCTCTAGGGTTATAGCGGCGCACAAGCCTGACTATCACGTCAAGGAAGCAGCATACTCGAACCTGGTCTTGAAAATGGCCAGGGAGGCATTCACTCAGTGAGAAATCGAACGAACTCATCAACATTTCGGAACGCGAATGTACGGTCAGAACATGTCCGCATGTGATTAAGCTTCAACGATTCAGTCCCCAGCTGCTGCAAACCTGAACACATTATATTGATTGTGACATTCTTACGAGATGCACTCAGCTGGGAATACATGGGCTGCTCGATATTGCGTACACGCCATAGTTGCTGATCGCTTGGTAGATGGAGAGGTGCGGGACACGCATAAATTAAAAAGGTGACTGTAACGAACGTTTCGAATTCTTGAGCAACGAGCACCAAGGTTAGCAACCAAACCGGCAAAACTCCGAACGAATGGCTACGCAAATGTGCTGTACTATAAAAAATGAAA